CTGGATTGTTTAACCCATCTGTTTGGCTCACCTGTTTTAAATTAGATATCAAAACGTGCCTGATTTTTTTCAGAGGGGAGGAATTGTGGAGGAAGCACCAGTATAAACCGGGGTGGGGGGAAGAGGTATTGACAACTTTGAATTTTTCCTTCATTATTTTTGGCAAAAAATAATTAATTGCACTAAAATGTGTGCAAAATTCATAATTAAAAAAAAATCTTCTTTCTCAGATCCACCTCCTTGATACAGTACATCTACTCATTATGTCAGCAAGGGCAAATACATAAAAGCAGAATAATATTACAATATTACAATTTTTGTTTGTTTCAGTAATGACATGCAATTTTCATTGTGTGCTTTTAAAATAATGACTACATGACTATATGTAGTCATTATTTTAATGACTACAATAATTTCTGGTTTATTTTGTGGGGAAAAGCATACTTCCATACTACAACTCTAGCTATCTTTGAAACTTCTCTGAGTTCTTGTAGTGTTTGAGAGATCTCTAAATGCTTTAATGACCAATGGTATAAAATAGAGTAGTAAATGCCTCTAATGATACCCCCACAGATGTATTGTTTGGTTTTATTTTCCTCTCAGCACGTTCTACGATTTTCTATTGTATATATAAGTTCCTGTGCTAGCATGAGGTTGTACTGCTGGCAAAACAAAAGTCAGTGAAAATTACAGAGAAATTGCATTGCTGAACGTTTGTGGCAGCAGATTGTGCAATGTACTTGAGGGCACATGTCTCTGAGCTCACTAAAATATGGGTATCATGCACACCCAGTGCCATTAGATGTTTTATGCAGAAAACAAGATGCCTAATCACATATTAAGGGACATGTTCTTATTCTGATTTAGCAAACTGCCATACATAGAGTGATTTCTCCTGCCCGTGTATATTACATGGTTAAGAAAAGATACCCTGCTGCATATCAGAAAGTAGTAATTTCATTTAGGTGTTCTATTGAAGTGGTAAACGGTAAGAGCCCAGCTCTAGTGGCTATTTAAATCATAGGGGTTTTAAGCTGAAAATACTGCCTTGCAACAACTGTCCTTTTCCTTGAGCTTCCATTGTCCATATGTATGTGTTTAAAGTTTTTTCGGGTCTCTTCCTATAAATAGTAATCGTATTTGGTAGGTATAGTGGTGTGATGTTACAGAATATCATAGGTGAATGCCATCATATAGGGAAAGATTAAAGAAGTTGGGCTTCAGAGAAAGGAAGTGGATATCCATTAGCTCTTGGCATTATAGTAACTTTTTCTGCTTGTATGATTAGAAGCCACTGTGACCTGATTCAAATGTAGCTTTTGGTTGTCTACCCTGTTTCCCCGAAAATGAGACCTAACTTGAAAATAAGCCCTAGTATGATTTTTCAGGATGCTCATACTATAAACCCTACCCCAAAAATAAGCCCTAGTTAAGTGAAACCCCATCCACCACCATTGGGTAGCATTGTGCAGCAACCAGAAGAAGATGACATGACGGTAAAGTAAAACATCCCCTGAAAATAAGCCATAATGCATTTTTTTTGGAGCAAAAATTAATATAAGACCCTGTCTTATTTTGGGGGAAACACGGTGGATTCAGATTTAGCTATTCTTAGAGTACACTGATTGAAATCAACGGGCTTAAGGTAGTTATTAATGTATGCTTCATTCAATTCCATGTTTTCTAAAATTGCTTCTTCCTTCCCTTCCTCCCACCTTCATCACATTTCGCATAATATAGATAGCTCTGTAGTTTGGTAATATTCAGTCTGCCAAACTATGATTTATGTGAATCCTCCAACTCAGGACACAGCTGATGGTATGAGTCAAGCTAGGAGTATACAAATTAAGGGTTCATTCTCAATCCCTCAAAACATAGTTTCATGACAGCTTTGATGTGTATACATATTTTTACCACCTTGTAATACAAAAGGATTTAGAAATTGCTCTGTCTGAGCTTTCCTGTGACTCAGTGGTTAATTTCAATGACATCTCTGAGTGTTCCAAATCTGAGAGAAGATAATCCACAATAATCAAATTTAAACTTCTTAAAAATTGAAAGGTAGTCTTATTGAAACATATTCTATCACAACAGATTATCTGAGATTCTTCAGCACAATACAGTGGTTAAGAGAAAGGCTATCTTGCCCCTGGGTAGGATGAACAACTATGGTTTATCCCTTATGTCACTTCTGCAGTAATTGCTGTCCTTTACCAAATGCATGCTTATATTGCATTGCAATTTTTTGTCATTGACAAAGGGCTGGAGAAGTCATTGCCCTTCATTCCCTTGGCCTTTGTTTTGGAACAAGAACTATATGGCAGAGGCATAAAGTAGTTCTGCAACTGAATTTTGGTTTCCACAAACTATACTTGTGCCCTGGTGATGCAACTTTTTTGTCTGTTTTTTTAAAAGCAGCATACTGCCCTTTGAAGAATTAAGTACCTCTAAGGCTCTTCATTGCTTAACAATTCATGCTTTGTGCTCCCTAGGATTTGAGTTCCCCAGATACAAAGCTGTGCTATTTGATTGGTATCTTTCCAATAGTGATATGTGTTCTACTTGTACCATGTGGAAAAATGAATAAAATATCTAAATGTTAAAAGACAGTTTATAAACACCATATGTAGATGCACACCGTGAAAAAAAAACTTTTGACTGAAAATATCGTAATTAGAGCAAGCTTCTGCTTTCTTGAGTAAAAAGGCTGAAGAACTATATCTCAATTTCTCTACATATTTATGGTTCAGATATAAGGATAGGATACAGAGGCCAATTCCTTTGAATATTTATTAAACTTTAATTGACATAACCATTCTTAATTCCATAAGAATTCAGAGATGTGCTATTTACTAACAGAGCTGGCTGTCTTAATAAGGCAGAATGAAGCAGTATCCCCTCCCCCCAGGCTACATATGCTGATTGGCGTGGATGGGGCAACAATAGTTGTCTCATGGCCATTTCCTTCCATAAGAGTTGTGTGTTTATGCTCTTCTGCCTCATCAGGTGTGATGAGGGGTATTGTCCCATCATGTCACTAAATAAGATTCTGCAGTCCATCCACTTGTCTTTGAATGTGGAAAGAACAGCTTCACCTTGATCTTTAATTCCAGTGGCAAAGCCAATTTCAGTACACTTGTTTTACTGCTTTAACAAGTTCACTTGTTGTTATTTCAACTAAATTTCTTTATAGAAATGCAAAGCTTTACAGAAAGTAAAGAGAGACATCACATTAGAAAAGATCACAGTGAATTTCAGTGTTGGAATATGTTTGTATGTAGAGGGGCAAAAGAAAACTGGTATTGTCCTGTTACATCTCCAAGCTATGGCAATAAAAATATCACTGTCATTTAACTATCCTGATCATTATATTCTATGGTTCTGGAATGTTAAAAATAAAGCAAAGTAAGTCATAATAATTTTGCAATCAGTTTTAAGATAGTTGTGCACTCTCAAAGCTGTGTAGCACAGTTCCACCAACAGTTTTACTTTCTTTTCATATCTCAGTCAGAGCTTTTTCTGAAATGTTGTATGTTCCAGGACAGGGCTGAATTATGTGTATAGAAGCAGTCTATTGGTTGGAAAACTCAAGGTGTGAAGAAGAAAATGTGTATAAGAATAAATATTACAACAGGTGAGAGTTATAACAGATTGCTACTGAGCCAGAGCATTTTTATAGTTTGGAGAAAAACAGGAATTTATTTCTTGGACAGTATAGGATAAAATATTTTATACAACGAAAGACACAATGTGATGAAGCATGTAAAATTTAAAGAAAGTTCTAGACTACATTTACTGTGGAGGAAGATATGAAGGCAGTCGGACTACCTCTTACTCATCCTGTCCTATGAAGTAATATAAATACAGTTCATAAATGTACTGTACTGTATATGCTTCTTACTACAGTCTGGTTCTTTTATTAACATCGCACAACCTTTTTTTATCTTGTCCTTCTCACCTAAAATCCTGTCAATTTCAAACTCTTTTTACACTCAGCCTTCCATTAAAATGTCCATATAGGTCCTACAGTATATGCCTGTTGAAAGTCTCATTATTCACCAACCTTGTACAGGTACATGCAGCTTGCAACTGTTAGTTGATCTTCATCTGCCACTTAAAATTAAATGGTGCGGTTCTCATGATACTTGTTGCTGTTGATCTTGCTTCCCATGTAAAATAATTTGCATTATAATATCATCACCATGACAAGCCAGGTGGGATTTTGCATGCCTTACTTAAAAGGTCTTTCAAAATATATGTGAAGATGTGAAAGAATTCTACATGACTTTAAAGCCTGAAAATTTTTTTAATGGGCTGCATAGTGTTGAAGCAACAGAAGATACAGTATATGGCAGAAGCAGCATCATTTGCAGGGGCATTATTAGTGGTGGGCCCAAAGGCCCATCAGTATTGATTTTATGTACTATTTAATATACATGTTTAATTATTTTTTAATTATTATATACTGTACTTACTGGTTTTAGCTTTTAAATATTGTTATTTTAATGATCTAAGCCACCTTGGGTCCTTCTAAGGCGAAAGACAGGGTAAAAATATTTTAAACAAGGTAAAGGTAAAGGTTCCCCTTGACAATTTTTGTCCAGGCGTGTTCAACTCTAGGGGGCAGTGCTCATCCCCGTTTCCAAGCCATAGAGCCAGCGTTTTGTCCGAAGACAATCTTCCGTGGTCACATATCCAGTGCGACTAGACACGGAACGCTGTTACCTTCCCACCGAGGTGGTCCCTATTTATCTACTTGCATTTGCATGCTTTCGAATCGCTAGGTTGGCGGGAGCTGGGACAAGCGACGGGCGCTCACTCCGTCGCGTGGATTTGATCTTATGACTGCTGGTCTTCTGACCCTGCAGCACAGGCTTCTGCGGTGTAGCCCGCAGCGCCACCACATCCCTTTGCGCCACCACGTCCCTTTGCGCCACCACGTCCCTTCCAGTTCGGCCTCCTTCCTCTCTGCGGGGCCTCCTGGGTAGGGAAAGGCGGGCATGTCGGTGGTGTTCGTGCCGTTGCGCATGCGGGGCAAGGCGGAGGTCAACCAGGAGACCCTCAGCGGCTGCTGGAAGAAAATGACCAGCTGATCCAGTGTATTGTGGAATACCATAATAAAGGCAGAGCTGTGGAATGCATGCAGCACCAGCACACACTGCACAGGAATCTCATCTACTTAGCTACGATCGCGATCGCTGACGCGGCCGCTTCCCTGACCACAGAGAAAACTGCTGTAGACTAATTTGGCGCTCTTGGCAACATGAGTGTCTCTTTGAAAGGGGCCAGGAGTCCCTGTGGAGAGCTTCCGGGCTGCTAAAAGTGCCTTGGACAGAAAACCCGGCAAATGGTGCTCTTTTTAAAGAGATGAGGTTTCCCTTCTTCCTTGGATCAGCTAGTAAATAGCCATTTAGCAACACCTCTGATGTGAAAATAACAACAAAAACCCCGCTTATGTCATTGTATTACTGCACTCTAAGTGATACTTACGAGGTAGAGGGGTTTGTGTCGTAATAAGGTAACTGTGAAGCTGTTTGAAAAGATGATACTGTCTGAAATTCAGCTCAAAGGCTGCTTCACCAGAGACACTAAGAGGAGAAGAAATTATACCAGACTGGTTAAGTGCAGTGACTTGTTGATACTTTCAACAGAACTTGGACACCTTTAGTTTACTCTGCATGATTCTAATACAATGTCTAATACTCTGCATGATTTTAAAGAAAACAAATAATTTTTTTTCTCAGGTCTTTTCTATCATGCTATAGGTCAGCGGTCTCCAAAGTATGACCTGTGGGCCACATCTGGTCTGCCTGGCATTTTTATTGTGTGTGCATGCATGCGTACGTGTGCACAGGTGTGGACGCGGGTGGGCAGGAGTGTGGGTGGGAGGGTGTGCGTTCCTTCGGCCCTTGAAAATATGGGGAGTATATTATGTGGCCCTCACTGTGAAAAGTTTGGCGACCCCTGCTCTAGGTCATTGTGCTGCCACTCACTAGTCCACCCCATGGCTCCACATGAAATTTCAGGCCTAGTCAACAAAGCTCAAGTCAGCCAGTTTAGTCAGTTCTTACTGTATCGCACTGACACATTTACAGAACATATTCACATAGCTGGGGAGGGTATACAGTACTCACAGAATTCTTCATTCCTATTTGTTTCAGTCTGTCTCACCTTGACAAGACTTGAGAAGGAATTTTTAGTTCTTATTTCGAGACAAGAGTGAGGCAAGGAATACTATTTTTTCTCATCAGGTTCTTGGCAAATTTACCAAGCTGTCATGTGCCCTTTCCC